CGTTTTTAATTTATATACTTATTTCTTAAAATATTTCAGGGAATTTCACGTTCTGTTAGCGACCCGGATTACAGAGGGAGAAAGAGTATTGTGAGTAATAAAAAAATTTTAAAAATTATCGGGATCACAAATGCTAGAAATAAAAAAATGGATAAATTGAGGACGTGAGTAAAATAATATGAACGTAAATTCGATAACTGAAGTGTAAGGTTGGCGCTTTTTTTTTTGTTTTTAAATAGCAAAAACACTCATTATTGTTTTTAGACACATACACACATACACTTGAGACATTAAAATTATTTCAAATCTTCCGCCAGAACATACTTGAATGTTTTACTACTTGTTTTATAAGAATTTTAAAAGGAATAGTAGATAGGCTAACCCTTTACTACTCAAAGATCAACCTTGAACTTGAAACCCTTACTCGTCTGGGAATCTGATTGGCTAACTACTGTCCAATCAAAGTCCCCTCTTGAGGCAACGTGGCAAATTCAATCCTGAAATCTTCATCTTTTGCAAGTAACAGCGGAAGTGACCACACGTTTATTGGAGCCGTCCTTTCCGATGTTAACACCAGGATGGCCGAGGTGTCATTTTCGACACCTTCAAATTTTCAACAAATTCCTATGGAATAAGTAGTTTTGGTTCGATGCTGAGGCTTATGGACAATTATTGAATTTTAGCAAAGATGCTTAACAGACTTAATTCTTTAAAAAATATTCAGTGGAATATCTGATATTTGAGGTTTTACCTTGAATGGCCGAGGTGTCGTTTTTGATACCTAGGCTATTTATAGCGTAAATGCATTGAAAAATTTCTCACAAGCAATAATACTTGTGTTTATGTCCCCTCTATCTATCTATCTATCTATCTATCTATCTATACACACACATAATTCATATATATATATATATATATATATATATATATATATATATATATATATATATATATATATATATATATATATATATATAATCACTTTCTTTCAGTATGAGGTATACTAATATTTGTGAATTTCTTTTCAGACTTGTTATTCCTGACTTGAATATTGAATATATTAAAGATGGCTGCTTCACGACGTAATGTAAATAAAGATGTCAAAAGATCTGGCCATCCTAGTGTTAATGAAATATAGAAGTCACAAGGATGCAAATCCTAATTGTTCTATGGACACTCTTCTAACAGTTAAAACCGAAAATTTAAATCATATTTGCAAGCCTTCTTTTATCTCTGTACATTAAACTCGTTGAATTTAATGGTGTCGTTGAGTTACTATTCATCTTCAAATGTGTCCGTTTTTGGCTTTGACTTTATGGCATTAACTACACTCGAGGCAAATCTTTAAAATAGTTCCCAAGTCTGCCCGTCTAAGAGGGTAGCTAGCAAATTTTTACTGCAAGCGTTCTACTCAGACACATTTGCATTTCAAGAGAGCCAACAGTTAAATCTCGAACTATGCTGAGATGACCTTAGTTACAGTTTATGGGAAATAGTATCATCTAGTGTCATCATCAGTTTGAATGTTCAAACGATCGGTCATCTTGGCTGGTGCACTTTGTGCTGACATTACCCGGCACCGACGGTGCTGTCTACCGAGATTGTCTTTTTGAGCTTTATATTATCAGAAAAATCAGCCTTGCTGAGATTCGAAACCGGGATTCCTGTTCAGAACGCTCACGTTCTAACCAATCGGAATGTACTCAATAAATATTCGAAAGAATATTAATGCTGGCGCTATTTTTATATATAAGTTGCTTTATAGCAACAGTTAAACTGGATTAAAAGTAATAAATTACAACTATCATTGACTCTGAGAAATTTCACGTATAATGAGCTATTGCCAGATTATGCAGTTATTATATTATATTATATTTATTATATTATATTTATTATATCATATTATGTTATATTTATTATATTAAATTATATATTATGTTATATTCATTATATTATATTTTTATATTATATTTATTATATTATATATATATATTATGTTATATTTATTATATTATTATATTATATTATATTTATTATATTATATAATATATTATGTTATATTTATTATATTATATTATTATATTATATTATATTTATTATATTATATTATTATATTATATTTATTATATATATATAATATATTGTTATATTTATTATATTATTATATTATATTATATTTATTATATTATATTTATTATATCATATTATATTTATTATATTAAATTATATATTATATTATGTTATATTTATTATATTATATTATATTTATTATATTATATAATATATTATGTTATATTTATTATATTATTATATCATATTATATTTATTATATTATATTATTATAT